CCTGTGTGGCGGTTTTGCGTTGTGGTGGGGGGGGGGGGGGGGGGGCTCATTTCCTTTGCCAGGTCCTTGCGTTTACTAGTAAGCTGTTATCACAGGCACTGCAAGGCAATCCGCTCCCATGTCACCTCTTCTCACTCATCACTTCTCTAAGGCTGGGTTCACACGTAGGCGTATCGAATATGCGCGTTTGCCGTGAATTTTTAACGCGATTCGCGGTTAAAAAAAACGTACGTTTCCGAAGGCTACCTGGCTGTATCGCAATGGATACGTGTGGCAAATACGCCCCAAAGAAGCTCCTGTACTTTGGGCTTAAGGCGTTTTACAGCGCGTTCCTATGCGCAGTAAAACTCCCAGGTGGGAACCGTGCCCATAGGCAATCATTGGTTTTCACATGTTGAGCGTTTTACAGAGCACAGGAACGCGCTGTAAAACGCCCAGGTGTGAACCAGGCCTTAGCTAGTAGGTGGGCAGCTGATGGGGGACTGTTGTCCCTTGTGGTCTTGTACAGCACTGGAAGTTCAGGGAAGCTGAGCTGTTCAGAAACCTGACAAAAAGCTTGAGCAAAAATGTGAAGAAATGCTTTGCAGGGCAATGTATGTTTGGTTTTCATTATTGGGAAGAGTTGAATACTATTTTTTTTTTTTCCTGCACCAACAATCCATGTGTTCGCTGTAGCACAAAAAAAACACTATCGGAAAACTTTGGATACAGAATGAATGTATCTGGTCATTTAGATGTTTAAAGTTTTGCAGTGAAAATGAAGATTTAAACTTGCGTGGAAAATGCTCCTCCTGACCTTGTTTTTGTGTTTTTTTTCTAGTTCTGCCAGCAACCGAATCATTGGCGCCAAGGACCATGCCTCCATCCAGATGAATGTTGCAGAGGTGAGCAGCCTTATGTCATCTCATTGACACGTTGTAATGCGTGGCACTTTCTCTAGCCACTGGTCCTTGAGCAAGGCATGTCAGATTCTGAATAGTGTACACCTTTCTTGGTTATATCTTAGTAATGGATTCAAACATTTTTTTTTTTTCTCAGTTGAGTGTCTGAATTTATTCCTGGGAAAATATGTTCTAAATCTGATACTGCTATTTTTCTAAGTTGGAAAAAAATTGCAAATGCCTAAGTTTAGTGCACAGTTGTGTTGTGGGCGGCACTGCGGCAACAATGCAAACTACTTAGCCACTATGCTGCCTAATGTTAATAATTAACTAACCAATAAGGGTGTAAATGTCCCAAACAGCTCTGCCATGTTGGGTGTGGGTAGATTTATGAATGTTTGCCTTTTTTATCCTGTTCGTCAGTTGGCTTTCCTAATGGGCCGAGCACTCCTGCTTACGATGTTAGCTGAGGTTTAAAGCTTTGATTTTTAGTCCATTTTAAAGTAGTGGACAACCTGCGCACTCCAGTTATTGTAGAGCTATAAGTTCCATGAGACATTGCAAGGCTGACAGCCATAGGCATTACTGAGTCATGTTGGGATTTGTAGTTATACCACAACTGGAATGCCATGCATGCCTACCAGTGCTTTAATAATGATGTTAAATGCTGAGAATCAGCAAATACCGGCATTACAAAGCCTGATATAACTCGTCACGTACAGTGTACGTGGCCAGTCATATAGGCACAAAGTGACAGGACGTACACTGTACGTCTCCCGTCACGAAGGGGTTAAACAGATAGCCGAGGGGACTGTTTACATGTGCAAAGCAGACTGTCGGCTTTACACCAGAGGCAATTGAGCTGCTGCCAGATTGCTTCCAGTGGCTGGTGCATTGCACTTGTAAGCCATCTTTTGTAATATCTAATATCTATTAAGTTAAAAAAATAAGGTTTAAATAAATGTTAAAAAAGAAATTTTTTTTTAAAGTCCTCGGCCCTCGCCATTGCCTTGAACATGCATCTGGTGCGCCTACGTATGATAACGACAATCGCGCTAACCATGTTTGGTATCGCTGCATGCGCCAGACCCAACCTCTTTTTGTAAGGGTTTTGTTAGATTTTTACATTTGGGATTGGTGTTAAGCATTTTTATTCTAGTCAGAGCTGAAATGAAATATGGGGAGAATTTCTTCTGCCATTATCTTTCCAGTCTGCTTTGTGGGAGACGGGACTAAATATTTCACTTCATGTTTGAGGAGCAGAATGTACCAAAGCTTATCTGTTCATTCTCTGGATGGAGTCCACACTTCTGCCTCTGTAATCCCAGCTCTTGCATTGTTCCTAAATTAGGAGCCTGTCTACAGTATTTGTCACAAGTTATCATATTGCCTTCAGTCCAGCGTTACCCTTTTGACTCTGTTTAAAAAGAATGTCTAGTTTTTAAAGTGGTAAGATTTTTGTTAAAATGATCCGCATGATGCGATTGTAAAGGTGATTTTTCTTAGGGCTGAAACAACTAATCGATTTTCTCTCTAGTGAGAATTATCAACTATTCTCATACCAGATTAGTTGATTTGCACTCAGTCCCCTCCTATCCCTGCTGCTTCCACTGGGGATCGGAGGGGGACACAGACCACTGCAGTTAGTGCCCAGCAGTGAGTTAGCGGAGGATCGGTAAATATAGGAAATACCAATCCTTCCCTCTGAAGAACAGAGTGATCAGTACTGATTACTCGATGCTTGCAAATAATTGACATGGTTTTCAGATATTGTGTCCCCAATTATGAATGAACAGGAAGTGCTCTGCATCAATTCCTGTTCATTCATGATTGGGGACATATCTGTTTACTATCTCGGTGTATGAATAAACAAGCAGCCTCTGTACGGAGTGCTTCCTGTTGAGTGCTCGGGCTGCAGAAAAAATTTGGTGACTGTTCATCTTTATTTCTCAAGGGGGAATATCTGGGGTCTGTTCATTTCAATGGCACCCCAACTATCTCTCAATTTGCGTATTTGTTCCTGTAGAATAGTATAGCTACATGGATGGAGGCAGCCATTTGTGCTTGAGACATAGGCAGGCTGCTTTGTAGTTTAGAGCAAATGGTTATGCTTTACTTTCTGACAATACAAGTCTTTTGATGCGAGCAGCTCATTGATAAATATGCACTCCATGTAGCAGACATCTGTCACCCATATCTCCTACCTAATGGAAGCAGGGCTGCAAACTGTTCTCCGTGGTCATATGATCATAGCATGATCAGTCTCCATTTCCTCTTTCCAGGTTGACAAGACAACAGGCAGAGTGACTGGCCATTTCCAGACCTATGCGATCTGTGGCAGCATTCGTAGGATGGTAAGTCATGCAATACATGTGTGCTGGTCTATTAAATTCATGTTCAAGCTCTACTGAAACCGGTGTACAGACTGGGGAAGGGATAGAACCCCTGTCTGGTTTTATAGCATTGCAGTTTGGCTAGATTTGCCCTCACTTTCTTTCTGGACCGGAAGTGATGTCCATCTGGACTGGAAGGAAATCTGTCCATTGAGGGCACAAGATCTTTCCATCAATCTAATATTGAAAATTTAGGAAAGAGGCTGATGCATTAAGGGTATATGCATTCTCCTCAGGGCTGATTTAGCAAACAGACTTATACAAGTTTATATGTAGTAGTCTTGATTATTGACATGTTTTTGTAAATCCGCGGCATGGAAATCCAAACAAATTATAAAATTAAAGTTAAATATACATTGTGGTGATTACCGCTGCTGTGTGAACATCAATCTGTTAATATAAAATCTGTAATATAAAATATATCTATAAAATGGCGCGGTGCAATAGATTTATATGAATATTGACATGTTTGACTATAATATTTGAAATGGGTGTTTTCTAATATCCTAGATAATTTTTTATATAATTTGTTACAATTGTAGGTCAATTTAGTTCAATATTTAACTTTATACCTGTCTAAAGTCTAGCTATGTTGGCCCTGAAGAAGGAAGGTGCAGATTCCTGAAATGTGTTGCCCTGTTTCTGGCATCTTTAATAAACAATTTAGATGGCTTCTATGGTCGATGTCTCGGTTTGGTTTAGGTGTTGGCTTTTCCCCTGTGGTCGGTGTCACTCGCCTCGTATTCATCTGACTTCATTACAGTACAGCCCCCAAGATGTTAGCTTTAGGTTACTAGTCTTCTTGTCAGTGACAACTGTTTCCCTCATTTCTTATAAAATCCCACCTATGGGGTCACTGAAGCAATAAAACATGAAGTATTTACTACTGTGTCAAAACTAAAATGGTGTTGGACTTAAACCAGTTTAAGTTGCATGCTGTCACTTAGATTTGACAAAAAAAACTGGCATATCTTTTAAAGTGTTCAGTCCAAATCTATTTGATTTTAGTTACGTAACGCTTCTCAGTCTGCAATCTTGGAAACCATTAATGACTTGAGAATGTCTTCAGTATTTTTTCACTTGCAGAATAATCTCTAATTCTGTTTCTTTCACCCAGGGTGAATCTGATGATGCCATTCTCAGGCTGGCAAAAAACGATGGCATTGTTTCAAAGTAAGTGTTAGATGGATTTGGGTTCATGTTGTAAAAAGCACATTGTGTGAATTTTCTCTTCAATGCCAGCATAAGAAAGGTGCAGGTTATATTAAGCTGGAGTATCATTTTGTCACGGGGAAGGGAGGGGTGACCAGAGTTTGGCAGATAATGCGGCAGGGTTGCATGCAGTTAATACATTGCCAGTCCTAGCTTAAAGGAGAACTACGGGGTCAGGGCTTTTCCCCATAGTTCTCCTAAGGGTCACGGGAGAACACAAACTAGTGTCCTCCCGTGACCCAAATCTCAGTATATAGCGAGCTGCAGCTCGTGGTATACTGAGATGCCGTAACTGATACCAACAATACTGTCTGGATCCACCCAGCTGCGCGAGTGATATCACTCGCCTCATAATTCTCCTTTTAGGCCTCACTCGCCTGAAGTGTGTTAATGCAACACGTAGAAACCAATTCTCAGTGTGCCCTGTTGATGCCATGCAGGTCTGCATTTTCACATTGCGTAACAATGGTCAAGGCATCGCCATGTACTAAGGTTTAATGAAGTGTCATTTTGTGCCTTTCAATAAAGTTTGAAATGAATAAAAACGATGATGTTTTAGAAATGCATTGCACCACCCTGACAGTGCACCCCAGTGTGTTATATGAACAGATGAACCAGAACAGGTGCTGCTAGTATGAACAGGCCCTAAACCTTGCTTCCAGGCATGGCTTGCATCTCCCCTACTTGGCTAGAAAACACATAAATCCAACACAAAATTGTTCTCTACAATCTAGAAAATGGAAGAAATAAAATGTTGGATTGGACAGGCCTGTTGCCGTACAGGTGTCTCCTGTATGAGTTGTCAAATAGTCTGTAGCATCCTGAGGGTTTAGAACATGATGTATGGTCACCATATGTGGTCAAGCAGCTCATTTTGTATAAAAACCCTTTTTAAGGGAACCTGTTTCCCCCCCCCCCCCCTCCAGCAGCACATAATTCTTTTCCTCCACCTTTTGTTTACCTGGCACTGTATGGGAGCCATGCAACTTCCTCCCTATGACAGTGGAGGGTTCCATACTCTCCTAGTACTGGCAGGGGGGCATGGATAGCGCTTTGTTGACTCCAGATCATAATTTGGAGCTTATAGTGCTTCTTCAGTTGGTAAACTCAGGGCTGGGGAATTGAAAGGTAGGGTATGCAGCTGGGCCCCCCGAATGGACAGCACAGGATTACTGAGGTCCATCTGAAACTGTGAGGGGAATTTATCAAAACTGGAGCAGCTGTGCCTGGCAACCAATCAGCTTCGGTCCTTTTCAAATTTTAACTGAAGATAGTAGCTGGTTGCCGTGGACAACTGCTCCAGATTGTCTGCTCCAGTTTTGCTAAACTACCCCCTTATGTATTTTTTTGTGGAAGCTATATTACTAATTCAATTTCTTTTTCTCGTAGGAACTTCTAAATGCGGAAACCTTTGAAATGAACCTTTGTAGAGAAAAATAAAATGTTGGAACAAACACAAGACTGGTGTATTTCTTGAACTGTTGAAGCTCTTGTTACAGGCACAGTCCAGTGGTGCAGGACGGCTGCAGCACTCTAGTCCAGGGGTCTCACACCTCTGGCTCTCCAGCTGTGGTGGAACTACAAATCCCATGAGGCATTGCAAGATTCTCACAGGCATGACTCCCGAAGAGATGCATCATGGGGTTTGTAGTTTCGCCACAGCTGGTAACACTGGAGGTTTGAGACCCCTGCTCTAGGCCATACAACTGCTAATGTTCATAACAATATTGTGTGGGGTTATCTCCAAATGAATGGTGGCCGGTGTTTCTTGGCTCTACTACCTGAAGTTTTGCTGTCTTGGGAGCAAAATGTGGATCATGGGATTGTGAACTATGGTTGAAGACTTACCCAAAAGCCTGTCAGCTGCCTGTAATCTGGCTGCATAGGATTTTATGGCTGCCCTGGTGTAAATTGAGTTTACTGGTAGAGCTGCAATGGTTCCTTATTCCAACTGTTGCAAAATGAAATTGGAACAAGTCCCTGTATGTAATGTAACTCTGACAATAAGGAATTAAATTCCTACTGTGTACACAGGAAGAGTGAGCTAGATACAGAATGTGGATCTTAACCCCTTCGTGGCAGGGACGTACAGTGTCTCCCATCACTAAGGCCCCATTCACACTGATCGACATGTACCTGGAGCGGATTTCTGTGACTATCGCACTACCTTCACTATTGGGCTGCATGCAAATGGCGCAAATCTGCATGACATCCGTGGCAAAAAAGGTCCTGGACGAGCTACAGGCGACATTGAGTTGTAGAATGGAACAGCTCCATTGAAAGAATCATTGGACGAGGGAGTTCTCGCGATATCGCAAGGCAATATGTGCGATTTTCGAGCGGAAATCCGCTCTGTGAATGGGGCCTTAGTGCCCAAAATGACTGCTCACATTGTAGCACAGACAATGAGGATACATGTCCCAGCATGTTCTGTAACACAGTAAGGACTATCAATACTACTTTACTACTTGATTAAAACACGTTTTAATCAAATGCATAAAAAAAACATCATAAATTAAACTAATTGTATAAATATTATGTAAAGAGATATATTAAATAAACTGCTTACAGTATTATAGAACTGATCATACTCCAGGCTAGAACACAGATCTCATACACTGTGGACATAAACACTATCCTTGTGCCAGCTAGGTAGCTGTGTAAATTCTGACCGATTGGCACTATGTAACTAAGGACCTCAGTATAACAGAAGAGATTAGAACCCGGGTCTGATGAGTCCAGAACCTCATACTTTACCTCTACACCAACTCTACTCTTCACAGGAATGGTGTCAGGTATACCACATAGATAATGCAAACACATATTAATCAGAAATAAAACATTTCAGGTCCAATTCCATTTTTAAACCACTAGAGGGCAATATATTCCCCCAAAACCCTTTTTTCTTTCTCTCAATGCCATACAATTTTAGTCCTGCGGGATCCTTTCCATTAGATTCCCAAAAATGTTTAGAAACACCATGAGGGGAATTTATCAAAAGCGGAGAAGACAAATTCTGGAGCAACCAATCAGCTTCTCTCTTTCATTTTTAAAGCTTAACATAACAAACTGAAGAGAGAAGCGGATTGGTTACTATGGGCAAATGCTGCAGATTCTGTCTGCTCCAGTTTTGAAAATTCACCTGGATGTTTATTACAGCCTTTACCTATAATATTGATGTGTTTCCTAACCCTAGTTGCCAGTTTTCTTGTACGATCCATGTACTGGGGGCCGCAGGTACTGGGGGGGGCGCATGGGCACTCTACTTTGGGGCCGCAGGGGCACTCTACACGCTGGGGGCCGCAGGGGCACTCTACACGCTGGGGGCCGCAGGGGCACTCTACACGCTGGGGGCCGCAGGGGCACTCTACACGCTGGGGGCCGCAGGGGCACTCTACACGCTGGGGGCCGCAGGGGCACTCTACACGCTGGGGGCCGCAGGGGCACTCTACACGCTGGGGGCCGCAGGGGCACTCTACACGCTGGGGGCCGCAGGGGCAAGCTCCAAATTACGACCTGGAGCCAACGAGGGGTCCATGCCCCGTCAGTACTAGGAGAGTATGGTACCCCCCACTGTCACATAGGAGGACGTTGTATGGCTCACATACAGTGCCAGGCAAACAAAGCAACGGTGGAGGAAAGGAGTTATGTGCAGCTTGAGAAGGACAGTTAATCTGTTGCTTTGACCTACATAAAGCACAGGTTTTCATACAAAATGAGCGGCTTGGCCACATATGGTGACCATACATCATTTCCCTTTTCCTGTTGCAGGCAGGCGGAGCCTATATCTCGATGGCTGTCCTGGAAGATTCCTGGAAACAGAGTTATCAGGTAATCAACTCATGTTTTCTGAACCCAGACACCAGCGTGATGGTGCATCCCTCGGGGGCAGCGGGTCTATGACAGTCTGGGCCCAGAGGAGGTGGGTTAAGTGATGCTATCCATCATTCAGCCTGGAGGATAGTCAGCAACTAGTTCTGGAAAGGAATTGTTATGGAGTGGGTCGGCGTCTCTGGTTGAGCAAGCTTGAATCGCGGCTAAATCTGCTCCAAAAAGGGTCCTGCTGTAGCGACACACAACCCGCGACAGCAGGACCCTTTGCCCCATTGGATTGCATTGGAGCGCGATATCGCGCGGTAATTTGCCGCGATATCGCGGGAATTACCGCACGATAAATCGCTCAATGTGAACGGGGTCTAAACATGAGCACTGCAGCAGCTGCTTTTTTATTTTTCTGGCTAGTTCACACCAGCGGCCCAGTTGAGGACACGGGCAGGTGTCCGCTGTGTGCCGGTAGAGACAACGCAAAGCATTGTTTACCATTTTTTCTTTGTTTAAACTTTATTGAAATGCCAAAGTGACATTTCATTCATTTGTATTCAATGTCGCTATAGGCGGGCAGCCATTTATAGTCAGGTACCCCATCACAACAAATGTCAACAAGAACAATCCAGAAAAAGACAAACTTTTACGGTACCCAGGAGTACAGAGTAAAAAAAAAGTCAATCGATTGTACCAATTTGCAATAAACAAAAGATTGCACATTGTACAGTATAGTATATAGTGTAGAAAAATGCAGTATATCCACGGTTTTTTGCACCACACCTACCTCAAGACAGCTCTGTGCTGTGAGGTCACTCTTGCGGTGACTGGTGTTGATCAGGTCACATGGTGTGAACGAGCCCAAAATCTAGTCTATTTTTATGGCATTCTGTCTATTTTTATGGTAATAATTAATAATACTGTTCAGTATTTTTGTGTGTAGGAGGTGTATATAGTATATTGATATATGATACAGACCAGGAAAAGGCAACCTCAGCCCTCCAGCTGTTGTGGAACTACATATCCCATAAGGCATTGCAAGACACTGCCAGCCACAGCCATGACTCCCAGAAGCAGATGCATGATGGGATTTATAGGCTCACCACAGCTGGTGTAGAACCTGACAGGAATGAAGGTGTCTGAGGTAAATCTATGCTGGTGGAAGTATATAGATGTAGACATGTATGGCCACGCTAATTGATTCTCAAACTATAAGTGAACTTTTTCTTTTCGTTGTGGTGAAAAAAACATAACATTCCTTTCAGACACTTTTATAGGTGAGGTGAGGTGTTCCTATACAAAAAGGCTTCTGGCCTAGTAACTGTATAGCAGACATGGCTGTCGGCCTCTCCTCAGGCAGCTCTTAGATATGCAGCAAACATTAAAAAATAATAATGATAAAATAACTCTAATTTAATTAAAATGTGTATTTTTTAAATATGGAAGTTACTATGGTTTCCAGGGGGGAAAAAATACCATTCTAGTTATCTTTTACTTGGTTAATAAAAATGGCTATTTATGGCATATTTACCAGTCTGTATACAACTGGGCTGGTGGAAACCTTAGGGCTCATGCACACGGACATAAATGCCGGCATATATGTCCGCAATGTAAAATACGCTTGTAGTTGTGGCACCGGGAGCCCCGGCACCCGCATTGTGGTGCCCATAGGAATGTATTGACAGAATAAGCTGTATACAGCTATATGCGTGCAAACATTTACATGCACATGCCTATAGGTGCAAATTTCTGACTGAATTTGGGAAATTATGCCCATACCCATGGAAATGCAGCTACCGGCTTTTACAAATATCCTGTCAATACATTCCTATGGGCACAAAAACACAGCAGCTGGTGCCCCTGGGCGCTGTAATATATTGCACTGCACACACATATTTACATGCGTGTGCATGAGCCCTTAGATCAGGGGTAGGCAACCTGGGCACCCCTACAAATCCCATCATGTCTCTGGGAGTTATGCCAGTGGCTGTAAGAGTCTTGCAATGCCTCATGGGGACTTGTAGTTCCGCAACAGCCAGAGTGCTGGGGTTACCTACCCATGACTTACACCAGGGGTAGGCAACATGGGCCTTCCAGCTGTGATGAAACTACAAATTCCGTCATGCCCGTGGCTGCCAGAGTCTTGCAATGCCTCGTGAGACTTGTAGTGCCACAACAGCCAGAGTTCCGAGATTACCTACCCATGACGTAGACCAGGGGTAGGCAACCTGGGCATTCCAGCTGTGATGGGCCTACAAATCCCAGCATGCCTCTGCCTCTAGGAGTCATGCCCGTGGCTGCCAGATTCTTGCAATGCCTCATGAGACTTGTAGTGCCACAACAGCCAGAGTGCCGAGGTTACCTACCCATGATTTACACCAGGGATAGGCAACCTGGGCATTCTAGCTGTGGTGAGCCTACAAATTCCAGCATGCTTCTGCCTCCGGGAGTCATGTCTGTGACTGTCAGAGTCCTGCAATACCTCATGGGATTTGTAGTTCCACAACAGCTGGAGTGCTGATATGGCCAAGGAACCAGTCAAGTATATTTGTCCTCTATGTTTTAGGTTTGGCGGACTTTATCACAGGACTTACAAGTACGACCTGTTAGAAGAGTTTGTGTGG